ATGGCAAAAAGTGAAACGAAGAGATGAAAAAAAAAAAAAAGAGGAGGAAAGAACAGAAAAGAGATTTTATTTATAAATAAATAAATATATTTATTCATTTATCACTTCAAAAAATTGTGTTTAAAAAGTTGAAAAGCTTTTCTTTTTTTACACTCCAACAGAATATCGTAAAAACACAGATTTTACATTGAGGCTTTCTATTTTTTTAAAAAATTAAAAAGTGTTTAGCGAAGTTCAAAAGAATACCACAGAAAAATATGTACCCTGTGCAACAGTGTATATTTTTGCTGAATTCTTTAATTTATTGGGTGAACTAAGTAAGTGCAGAAAATTTAGTCTGATTGCTATAGAACTAATAAAATAATGTTAAAGCTTATCTCAGTTCATTTGAGACATTAGAAATTTTACTGTTTTTTTAGGTCAAACTTTTTTTTTTTGCTATTTTTCTTTTCCTGTTTTTTTGTTTTTTTTTCCTCGGCACAAGCAACTTTAGCTATTTACCACAAAGTTAAAAAAAAAATGAGCGTCCAAGTACCAGATACTATTCAGAGAGGCACTGTTTGAGAAAAGAATCAGTTCTTCCTTTTGGAGTTAACAAACGTAATTCAAAATGTTATTTTAGCTAGTTCTTGAACAGGCTTTTAGATTTCATAACATAATACCAAGTGAAATCAGGCAAGAAACTGTTTACTTACAAGAAAAAAAATTTTTCCTCTTCTTCGGTTTAATTTTATTCAGAAAACCGGTAAGTTTTCAGTTGTTCAATAAGGTATTCAAAAGCACGTTTTCTTCTTCTTTTTCATCTGCAAAAGTCCTCTCTTTTTTGTTTCTGTTTTTCGTATTACCCGTCAACAGTTTGGTAATGATTCAGATCACGTCACACGATGGGACGGGGTACCTTTAACGTCCCAATCAGCCTTATTAGACGCCGAAGAAGGCGGAACAATAGCTAGCGAAGGAATTAATGTTGGCGAAGGAGCAGAAGAAGCCAAAACTTGTACTCAGAGATTAATTAAAGTAAATGGTTTTATTTGTGCTCTTACTAACTGATTACGATAATGGTAGTGTTAAAATATAGCAAAATTATTATTTTTTTCTTTTCCACACAAGACCTGTAAAACAGTAGCAGCCCAGAAGTCGCAAACTACTTGCAGATAAGCTTTTTACAGCACTCTATTCCTATATAAAATGAAATTTTTAGCCTTTGTTGTACCAAACAGAGAAATTTTAAAGGGGAAGAAACAGCATTTTTATAACTACACATTAAAAAATCTTAAGGTTTTCAAACTTGACACAGAAATAGTTAAAAAAGTAAATATTAGGGAAAAATAATACTTTCTTTTCTTGGTAATTTTTTAATTTTTGAACAAAAGCTTTTGTTGTTTTCTACCGTTAAATGAATAAACAAATAAAAAGGAAAAAAAAATTCAACAATCTTTTTTTGTTATTTAATTTTCAGTTTTAAATTATTTTTTGTATTTTTCAGTATGTTAAAATCTTGATACCTCATGTGATATTAGTGGCAGTTTTGATTGGATATTTATGTTTGGGTGCATGGATTTTAATGATATTAGAAACAAATACCGAATTAACAAAACGTTCAAGAAAATTAGTAAATTTAACAAATCTTATGACTTCGCAAAGCGAAAAAAGTTGGATTCTTATTGAATCTGTGATTGAACGTGTTCGGCAGACGACAACAGCGGAGATCACTTTTAAACAATGGAATGAAACATTTTGGTAAGTGGTACAGTATAATTTGGCAATTTCTGAGCATCTTTTACTACACTTCTGTAGATTCTTATAGTTTTACCTTTATGCTTATCAGAACAATAGATGAAAATTTAATCGAATCGCTTGAGGTTGTCTGATAAACAAAAAAAAATTTTTTTTAATTTTAATTTAATTTAATCAATAAATTATAGAAGGTTATAAAACTTTTTGATAACTATAAAGGATAAAAAATAGACTATATTAAAAGCGAACAAACCACTTGATTTTGCACATTGTTTAGGGAATATATGCTATCTGTAGCAACGGCTGTCGACGAATATAGTAAAGGTGCTGGAAAATCTATTCGTGCAGAAATGGTACGACCAAACGACCTATCGAATATGCATAATAAATGGACATTCCCAACTGCGTTACTTTATGTTTTAACTGTGCTCACCACCTGCGGTAAGTTTCTGCTGTTGTACCGTAAAGACTGAACTAAGTTTTGCTAAGCTAAACTTTTGCCTGTTGCTGCTACCAAAATACTTGGCAATTATTTGCAAAACAACTTTAAAAAATTGTTCTTTTTTTTCTAACGATATTTTTTTTTCGTCCAGTAAAAAAAAACTATTGCTCTCAAATCAACAAGATAACATTTTCAATAACTCGCAAAACAGTATAATAAAATGGAATGTAAAACAATGTATGGCAGCACATTAGCAGATCATTTGAGATTAGGAACAGTTAGTTTATGTTGAAGTTGTAATGAAAAGTTGTACTTTTTGTTTATGTAGTTTTTTTTTTGTTTTGTAGGTTACGGTGAAGTATCTGTTGATACAGACTTTGGTAAAGTATTCTCAGTATGTTTTGCACTTGTTGGTATTCCACTGATGTTTATTACTGCAGCTGATATTGGCAAATTTTTATCTGATACATTGTTACGTTTTGTATCCAACTGGCGACGGATGGTGCGAAAAATTAAGGTATTCTATTAAATAGACAACAAAAATCGAATATCAAAAAACAAAAAAAAAATATTCTTTTTTTTTCAAGTTTAAAAATAGCTTTTTTCTTCTTTTTTTTTTTTTGCTACCGATAGACCCAAAAAACAATTGATTAAGTTTCATTTTTTTTTCTTCTTGGTTAATGTTGTCAAGATCAACGATGTTATCTGTTCTGTTGTTCTCTTCATCGTTGTCATCTTCATCGCTTTGCTGCGCTGTTTTTTTTTTTCGTTTTTCACTTAAAGTATCGCCATTTTTTCCTCTTCTTTATTTTTTCTCTTTTTTTCCTTTTTTTTTTTCTTTTTTTTTTTGGCTGTTTCCCGTTTGGTTCAGTTACCCAAATATAAATACGCCAAAATAACAAAAAAACATTTATCCCACTCAGTGAAAGTCACTCATTTGATTTTAGACATTGAAAAGAAGTTTCCAAGAAAAGAAGAGCAGCCAACAAGATTGTTATCGAGAAGAGTTATCTGAAAAAAAAAAAAAAA